TATCTATCTATATCTATCTATCTATCTATCAATCTATCTATCTATCTACCTACCTACCTACCTACCTACTTGACTCTCACATTTTGTTACCTAGTCTGGTAACAAATCATCTGCATAAAATCAACCAAGCTCAAAGAACACCAAAAACCCACCAGTTTGACCCGGAGCTATACATATTCTCTGCTATTGGAGACAGAAATAAAAACAAACAAACCAATAGAGCAATTCGAAGAAGGCTTTCAGGAGACTGGTGCTTATCTTTAAAAAAGAAAACTTGTATTTGGAAACTATGTTTAGATAGAAAGCCTAAATACCGCTCTAGCTATATTCTAAATTAGAACAGCAGTTGCTAAAAGAGTTGGTCAGTTGTAGATGAAAAAACAAAGGAGCTCCTGGAGGAGAAATCTTAAGTGGAAAAGCATAAAATAACAGTAAGAAGGAAAAAGTATGTCCATGTTTATGTGCCATATGTAATATATAACATAAGTAACAAGTTGTATTCTTCATATCACTATTGCTTTGATTTGAAGATCAAAACGTTAGGCTCACAGTTTTGAAACAACTGATTAACAAGAATAGGAATTCAAGTTCACTATTCCCAAGGTATCCCAAATCATTCCAATTTCTTCTAATTTTCCCTCCTTGGATCTATCTTCCATTGGGTGCAGCTGTTTGAACTAAAACATGCTGCACCAATTTCCCCAGTCTTGGATGAGCATCATAACAGGATGTGGAGCCAGATGCCTTGAATCTCACTGAAAACCTTTGACAGGCTGTTTATGTGGGCAGATCCGCTAGATTAGCAGGATTATCTTAGTAAGTTTAAATAAATGCAAATATCTTTAATGTGGTTGATCATAGTTTCATTGCCAAGATGACAGCAAAGATAGGCAGAATGAAGTGGTGAGAAATGTGAGTTGACTATAACATCATGTGGTCAAGCTCAGTGTTCTTAATGCAGTTTAGTTCTTTTTATAGCCAACTAAAGGTTTGATCCAAGATAGTGTCACCTTTGCAACTGGGTTCTTCCCGTAGCAGCAGGTATATGAAGAGGCCACATACCTTCTTTTCTCCTGCAAGTTGGAATAAGAACCAAGCTGGGGAGTCCACCCCGCAAAAAATATCTCAGTCTAAATGGAAATCTAACTCAGATCTCAAAACTCTTATAAAAAACATGACAAGCTACTTAGTCTTCCTGATAATAATACATTTAAAGACTTTGGAGCCATTAGCCCTTAGATTGTGAATGGAATCACTGACCACCAGATAACTGATAATACACCAGAAGAAGATGGTAGACCATCCTCCTAGTACCAACATTGAAACAAAGCACTACAGCAATACTACTACAATTTCCCCTCTCTCTTTGGTTGGCAATGAGGGAATCCAAATTGCTTAGGTATCTCAAAAGTTACTTTTATTATCCATGTCCCTTTTTTTTTTCACTTTACAAAGTGATTTATGAAGTCCCTGCCTTTAACCACACAATTATTTCTGTATTATTTTGGATAGAATACTCACTTCCTGTGCAACTAATAAAAATAATAATTTTTATTGCAGTGACCTCAACATTTGTGAGAACCATTTCTGGTAAAAGTAACTCCTTAACATTCTTCTGAGCAAATCTATTATTTTTAACTTGAAGAAAAGCGCCTAGTTTAAGAGTGGACCAAAGCTGACTTTTCCAATCAGTTTTTTATTATTATTATTTGAAAGTGTCCAGTTTTTCAACATCTTTAAGAGACTTCTTGCATGTTAAAAGAATGTTTACCGAAACCTCAATCTTTTACAGCTAAAGGATATATCTAGAACGCTGAAAAAGTGTCAGGAGCACCAGTTCACAAAACCATTGCCATAATACACATTGGATGGAAAGACAAACGGGTTGAAGCTTAAAGACAATTACCTTCTCT